GCCGAGAGAAACCACACTCTGGAACAAGAGCTGGGTGCAGGTTTCTCCGCAGTGACTTTGAACATTACATACAAAAAACCGCACATGGTACTGTGAATTTCTGATCTGGATTGCTCCTTCGCTTCCAATATCAATTGATAGAGGCTTCTGGCGGAGTGTGGAGACAAGAATGAGCTCCATTCTGCTGTGGGTTTCTGTGGGTCTCTGGCCATGCCGTCCCTACCTCCTCTGTGCCCAAAGTTACTCTGCCGGGGGCTGAGTTTGGATAAACACTAGAACTATCTGATTGCTCATCAAAGAACATTCTTCCTCGTGGTACAGCAGTGTAAGTTCAGAGTGTTCCGCAATTATATGCCAAAGGAGTTCTTGCTTTCTCTAATGAACTTTGCAAACTGTCAGCCTAAGATGAAGTTTGATCCTGGGAAGGATTTCTTCCTTTATTTGTCCAATTTTGCAGCACTGCTCATTCTCCTTAATCTTCCATTTGTCTCTCTGCCCCGAGTCACTGATAGAAGATGAGAATGAATTTTGGCATTTTCTTCTCTTGCTGGGAAGAGTTCCAAACGGATCTCTTTGAGGGCAGGAACACAAGGGTCCTATTCCTTGGGTGATGTTATTGAAGAATAACCTATCTGGCTTTGTCAACACTTGGTAAAAAGTATACGGTGATGACATGATGACAGTAATCATGATCATCAGTCATGTGCCATTTTCAGAATTCACGGCCAGTTCCACTGATAACTTCAATTTTTTTCCAGAGAAATATTGGCCTGAGGCCCCCAGAAACATTGCTTCATGGCCTAATAAGAATTTGCCTGACCTATTTTGTGGAGGCACATTCACCCTGGTCCTACGGTTGTTTCATGCAAAAGGGAGAAATGAAAGTTTTTACTGCTGACGAGGTCCCATTTGCTTGAGTCAATTAAGGCCACTGAAATGATCAGCCCTATAAATGTTGTTTTAATGGAAACAAAGTCTTCACGGGTCCAGATTGGGTAGATCTGTGCCTCGAGAAGGAAACAACTCCCTTCTTCATTCTTTTAGCTGGGTTATCGGGTGGGGCCATCATTCTTTGAGGATCAGACTACTATTAACACATGGGAATAAACGCCTTCAATCGTGTGATATTTGCGGTTACGCCGAGCAACACATCTTGGTTTTTCATGTAAACAGGAGAGTAAAGCTACCAACTTCTCATCCTCCCATAGACGGAGGCTGAGGAGAAACCTAAACATCTAATCCTTACAAGGTGACATTTCAGAGTTAAGGGAGCCTGGGTTCTGTGTGTTGAAGGGAGGGTTCGTTAAGAGGGAAATGCCCCAGACAGGTAGCTATTTCTCAGTCCACGTTGGCTCAAAAATGCACAGTATGCAAAGGACGGTAGGACGGGGGTGCCAGGTGAGGGTATCCAAGACAAGAGGTGACACTGTTCTGACCAACACAGCAAAGTTTGAACTCCACTACTTGGCAAGTTGGGAAAATCTTCCTTCTTAAAATTTGAGACGACTTTCTCAGAAAATAAACATTTGTTCCTAGACCTGCTCTCCCTTACCTGTACGCTTACCTGGAGGAGGATTTTGTCTCCGAGTGCGCATGCCCGCCCTGATAGTGGGAGACCTCCAAGCCAAAGCCAGCAGGGCCCCCCACTGCCAGCCAGGAGGCCGTAGGTCTTGGTGCGGTGAAGGCCAGGGCTGACAGCGCCCCTGAGGCATTATCTGAGTAAATATTCCAGGCTGGAGGAAATGCACTGCCTGGGTACAGGCAGGGTCCTGGACTCAGTTTCTATGGGTGGAAAGGGGTCCCCTAAATGGTGGGTGAAGGATGCCTGTGTGAGATAGGAAAGAGCATTTTTTTAATTTTTATTTTTCTCCCACTGAAAAATTTTTCGATTTTTCTTCTTGATTCGAAAGCAGGGAAAACTGCGTGCACTTCACGAGGCTCTCCTGTAAAGGATTTAGCAACCCCCAGAGCTCAGGAAGGGGGTCCGCGGGGAAGCAGGTGCGGGGCTGTGATGTGGTCCTCTTCCGCCACCTACCGACAGCATCGCTCACTGCGGGTTCCAGACGCACCTACAGTGCTTGTTCTGGGGACCACAGCGGGATGGGCACCAACTCCGGAAAAGTAAAACTATTCAAGGCACGTTTACTGCATTCAGGTTAAAAGAGGTTTATTGAGGCCGCAGAGGAAAATACATGTTCTGACAATCGAGGTTACCTATTTTATTGGGTAAATTCGCTCTGATTTTCAGCTGCTAAAATAAATATATAAGCATAACGGGAGGCAGAGTTGTCTTCTTTCTTACATTAGGTTAATACATAGAGGTACTGCATATTTTTACGTTTTTGTTGTTGCTGTTTTTTAGAAAATATGATCACCCTAAAGGTACTGATGGAATTTTTAGAAGAGAAATAGTAGATGACTAATTTGCACGCACGAGAGTGACACGTCTACAGAATTAACATTACAGATCCGTGGGAATCCCCATATGCAAATAGAGCATGGGAAACTGTCCATATGTTATACGGGCTTGTACTTTCACTGGAAGATTGAGAAGATGCTACCCTACACACAATGGTTCATACCCTTGCATTCAACAACAATCCAACTTCAAGAATTCCATCCCAAGGAAATAATTCAAAACCATGAGAAAAGTAATGGGGATGATATTCTTCGTAAGATCAGTAAATGTTCAACAATAGAAGAGTTAAAGTTATGGTTTGTTCAGAATATGGAATATTAGAGAGGCATGAGAATTACTTTAACATGTAGCAATATGAGAAACGCATTCCCACAAAGATATAAACTAGTAGAGAAAAATAGGAATATTGAATAAAACTGGAAAAGAATATTAAAAATACTAAAGCTGAGTTACAGTCTGTTATGTTATGCATACCAGTATTTGTTTTCCTAATTACATAACAGATACAGAAATGCATTCTTGTTGTAACACATTTAAGTTATATGGAAGTGTATTAAGTAAGAAGTGGAGAATCCCATAATCTGCCTGCTCCTAGCTTGTCTGCTCCCAATTAATAGATAATGTAAGCTCTCCAGATCTTCTTCCTTAGAGTTACACACACACACACACACACACACACCATTACATGTAGTTTTATTTTAACATAAAAGTGAAAACATTGTATTTCTTGCAACTCAATTCTCCTAAAAATATACATTACAGGTCTTTCTGGATCGATATAGATCTACCTCATTTTTTTAAACCACCATTTAATGTGATCTACTCTAATATATTTAACTATTTCACAACTGATAGACACTTGTCTCTTCTAGTTCTTAAAATAATAATTCTGCAAATGACCCCTTGTATATTTATCTTAGTACACCCTATTAATGAATTTAAGCTTCTTTTCATTTTTGTATTTCCTTAGAGAATTTCCTATTCATACCTTTTGCAAATTTTTCTATTTTATTGTTTACATTTTTATTTTTGATTTGTTTGGGGCCCTCAATGAAGTTTTTAGATTTGAGATTTCACTGGATTTAGAGATTGGTACAACATAGAATGTTTTTGTCCAGAACATAATTTTTAAAATTTTTATTTAAATTCAATTAATTAACATACAGTGTATTATTGGTTTCAGAGGTAGAGGTCAGTGATTCTTCAGTTGAATATAACACCCAGTGTTCATTACATCACGTGCCCTCCTTAATGCCCATCACCCAGTTATCCCATCTCCCACCCACCTCCCCTCCAGCAACCTTCAGTTTGTTTCCTATAGTTAAGAGTCTCTAATGGTTTGTCTCCCTCTCTGAGTTCATCTTATTTTATTTTTCCCTCCCTTCCCCTATGATCCTCTGTTTTGTTTAAGTTCCACCTATGAGTGAAATCATATAATTGTCTTTCTCTGAGTGACTTACTTCGCTTAGCATAATACCCTCTAGTTTCATCCACATCATTGCAAATGGTAAGATTTCATTTTTTTGATGTCTGATTTATATTCCATTGTATATATACACCACATCTTCTTTATCCATTCATCTGTCAATGGATATCTGGGCTCTTTTCATAGTTTGGCTATTGTGGACATTGTTGCTATAAACATTGGGGTGCAGGTGCCCCTTTGGATCACTACATTTGTGTCTTTTAGGGTAAATACCTAATAGTGCAATTGCTGGGTCATAGGGTAGCTCTATTTTTAATTTTTTGAGAAACCTCCATACTAGGTTTTCCAGAGTGGCTGCACCAGCTTGCATTCCCACCCACAGTGCACAAGGGTTCCCCTTTCTCCGCATCCTTGCCAACATCTGTCGTTTCCTGAGTGGTTAATTTTAGCCGCAGAACATGTTTTCCCATTTATCCTAGTCTTCTTTTATATTCCTGGGTAAAATGTTATTGTTTTTCTTTATTTAAATCTTGTTCACTTCTTGTTATATAGTACATAAAGGAAGACATTTTTCAATGGTTATTTACATAACTAAAATAATTTTAATGGAAACAATTACGAGCTCCAGCTGAAAACATAGCAGTTTTTTTAAAGCTATAATGATCTGTCAAGTAATAACTCAAAAAAGTATAATTATTAGGCTACTCATTTCCTTGTATATAAGGAAAATCAATAGATTGATTTCATGTCCTCTAACAAACCAAAAACACGATGTAGACACAAAAAATGAAACATAAAGAGAGAGGAAAAACCAGAGCTCAGGAATAGTAGGGCCTGTTTTCCTTTCGTTGGGAAAGCTGCTCACCAGCTGGCAGTTGCAAAGCAGCCAGGCGGAGTACCCAGCCGTGGGCAGCTGGGTCATCCAAGAAAATAATTTCAGTTACTTCATGATCCTCCCAAACTCCTTGAGCATTTGAACTGTGAAGTCTTCCCATCAGGACATCTCACAGTGTCTCCCTGTGCCCTCTCTCCGCACCCCATCTCCATTAGACCAGGCCTCGCCATTTCCCTCCTTAGAATCTTTCCAACCCCCAAAAGATGTGAATAAAGTTGGCTAGTAATAATGTTTCTGGTACAATTTTTTTCAAAAACAAGCTGGAGCATGATAAACTGATCTTACAGTTCTGAAGAGAAGATGTACAAGAATGGCCTTGTATTCGGAGGAAAGAGAGCAATAAAAGAGAATTCATCCCACCTGCTTTTAAAACACGCTACAAAACTAAAATAATGTGAATAGCAAGACACTGGCGCAGAAACAGGGAAGTCAATCAAATGGACAGAACGAGTTTGCACTTTTTCACCGTGCCCTTGACAAGTCCTACTTGGCCAGTTTCTGCACCAGGACGACGTGATGCACCATGGGGCTGCAGATGAGCTGCCCTGCGCTGAAAACAAGTTTTCTAAAACTCTCATTTTTCCTTGAGCAAAGTAAAGCACTCATTTAGAAGCTATTTCTTAATTTCAAAAACATAGCAATTTTATGATTATCTTGTTGATTTTTATCTTAATTGTGCTGTGGTCTGAGAACACACTATATATGATTTAAATCTTTGAAATTTGCAGAGACTTGCCTTATAGCTTAGGGTGTCATCATTTTGTGTAGAAGACCTGTGTATCCTCGAAAAGAATGGGTATTGTGTTGGTGTTGGGGGCAATCTTCTCTATATGGTTATTAGGTCTTTTTACTTAATTGTATTGATCAACCCTTCCATACATGTGTCTGATTGGTTTATCATTTACTGAGAGAGGTGTTTGCAGACATCTCACCATGACTTCAATTTGTTTCTTTGTTTAGTTACATCATTCTTTGCTTTACATATTTTGAGGCTATGCTATTATTATATACATGTAAATTTAGGTTTTTATATCTTCCTGGTTATTTAAAACTTTTATCATTATGGAGACTTAGAGAGAGGCCATACAAATGTAGAGAGAGACCACATTGAAAAAGGTAGGAAGGGTAGAGACTTGATCAGGAGCCAAACTGACCCTGGGTATCTGACCGTGGGAGGGAGGGATGGTGTAGGCACGGAGAGGGGAGAGGAGCAGACCACCCATGCCAGGCACCCAAAGCACAGGGGATCTGCACTAGGAAGACAAATCCCCATAACATTTGGCTTTGAAAACCAGAGGGGCTTAACTCTGTGAGTTATTACAATCAGCGGGGCTTAATACCTGGAACTTTAAAAATCAGTGGGCTCGCCTGGGTGGCTCAGTTGATTAAGCGTCTGACTCTTGGTTTCGGCTCAGGTTGTGACCTCAGGGTCATGAGATCGAGCCCTGTGTCTAGCTCCACACTCAGCACAGAGTCTGCTTGGGTTTCTCTCTCCCTCTCCCTCTGCCCCTCCCACTAGTGTGCTCTCTCTCTCTCTAAAATAAATAATCTTTTTTAAAAATTAAAAAAAATAAAAATCAGTGGGCTTGGCTCTGGGAGAGCCAGAGGGGGATAGAAAACTGAGTGCCTGCTCTTAAAGAGATAGCACAACAAACAGCCCCATGAAGATATAGCATAGAAGCAGCAATTTGAAAAATGCCTGGGGTATATGGGAGGAAGATTTGTTTACTAATCTCAGAGTGGGTGCTAGAAGGGTGTGGATTGTTGGGAGATACCTCCAAGAACAAAAGAGCTGGCAGGTGCCATTTCCCTCCCCTGACCCACAGCCTACATACACAGACACCTGTGGGAACAAATACAGTGTGAACACTCTCCACCCAGCTCCTGGCCCCCAGTCTTCTGCAGTCACACCCATCCATCTCGGCCTCAGCAGTTTTCCCATTAGCTGCAAATCCCTTCCCACAGCGGACTGGCACAGGCCTTGATGACACTGCACCCCTGGTGCCGAGTTATCCTGTGGACGTGCCCCCAGCAGGAGTCCATCCAAAGCAGAGCCACAAGCTGGCAGTGTGCAAGCACCCCTGAGAGGAGGCACAGAGAGCCCCCAACAAAATCAACCCAAGGAGGTCCACACCAAGACACATAGTAATTAAAATGGCAAGCAGTAGTGATAAAGAGAATTTAAAAAGCAGCAAGAGAAAAGAAAATAGTTACATACAAGGGAAATCGCATAAGGCCATCAGCTGATTTTTCAGCAGAAACTTTGCAGGCCAGATTTCAAATGCTGAAAGGAAAATCTGCAGCCAAGGACACTCTATCCAGCAAGGTTCTCATTCAGAATAGAAGGAGAGCTAAAGAGTTTCCCAGACAAACAGAAGTTAAAGGAATTCATCACCACTAAGCCAGCCTTACAAGAAATGTTAAAGGGGACTCTTTGAGTGGAAAGGAAAGACCATAAGCAGGAGTAAGAAAAGTATGAAACAAAAAGCAGTAAAATTAAATGTATCTTTAAAAATCAATGAACTAATTCACGAAATAAAAGGATGTAAAGTATGACACCATATACCAAAAATGTGGAGAGGGAAGGAGTACAAATTTAGTGCTTTTAGAATGGGTTCAAACTCAAGCAACCATCAACTTAATACAGATTGCTGTATGCAAAAGGTGTTATATATAAACCTAATGGTAACCACAAATCAAAAACCAGTAATAGATATGCAAAAAATAAAAGGGAATCCAAGTATATCACTAAAGAAAGCCAGCACCCATGAGAGAAGAAAGTAAGAGAAGAACTACAAAAACAACCATAAAACAAGTAACAAAATGGCAATGAGTACATATCTATCAATAATTACTTTGAATGTAAATGGACTAAATGCTCCAATCAAAAGACATAGGATGATGGAATGGATAAAAAAGCAAGACCCACCTGTATGCTGCCTACAAGAGACTCATTTCAGACCTAGAGAGACACCTGAAGATGGAAAGTGAGAGGATGGAGAAGCATTTATCATGCATATGGAAGCGAAAAGAAAGCAGGGTAGCAATACTTCTATGGGACAAACTAGGTTTAAAACAAAGACTGTGACAGGAGACAAAGAAGGTCACTACATAATCCTAAAGGGAACAATCCAACAAGAAGATATAGCAATTGTAAATATTTATGCACCCAACATGGGAGCACCCAAATACAGAAAGCAGCTAATAACAAGCATAAAGGAAGTAATAAATAGTAATACAATAACAGTAGGGGACTTTAACACCCCACTTACATCAATGGATAGATCATCCAAACAGAAAATCAACAAGGAAACTGGGGCTCTGAATGACACATTGGACCAGATGGATCTGACAGATACATTCAGAGCATTCCATCCTAAAACAACAGAATATATATTCTTTTCAAGCGTATGTGGAACATTCTCTAGGACAGATCACATGTTAGGCTACAAAACAAGTCTCAACATACTCAAAAAGATCCAAGTCATACCATGCATCTTTTCCAACCACAGTGCTATGAAACTATAAATCAACCACAAAAAAAATCTGGAAAGACAAATACATGGAGGTTAAATAACATGCTACTAAACAATGAATGGGTCAATTAAGAAATCAAAGAGGAAGTAAAAAAAAATACATGGAAACAAATGAAAATGAAAACAGCCCAAAATCTTTGGGATGCAGCAAAAGCAGCTCTAGAGGGAAGTTTATAGCAAAACAGGCCTACCTCAAGAAGTAAGAAAAATCTCAATTAAACAACCTAACCTTAGGCCCAAAGGAACTAGCAAAGGAAGAACAAACAAAACCCAAAACCAGTAGAAAGAAGGAAATAATAAAGAGCAGAAAAAAATGATATAGAAACAAAACAAAACCAAACCAGTAGAACAGATCAATGAAACCAGGAGCTGATTCTTTGAAAAGATCAACAAATTCATCAAAATAAGATAGAGGAGTCAAGGGGCGCCTGGGTGGCTCAGTCATTAAGTGTCTGCCTTGGGCTCTGGTCATGATCCCAGAGTCCTGGGATCGAGCCCCACATCAGGCTCCCTGCTCAGCTGGAAGCCTGCTTCTCCCTCTCCCACTCCTCCTGCATGTGTTCCCTCTCTCACTGTCTCTCTGTGTCAAATAAATAAAATCTTTAAAAAAAAAAAAAAGAGGAGTCAAAATCATAAATGCAAGAGGAGGAACCAAAACTACAGAAAGAAAGGATTGTAAAGGAATAATATCAAAAATTATATGCCAAAATATCGGACCACCTAGAAGAAAAGGATACGTTCCTAGAAACATATAACCTCCCAATACTGAATCAGGAAGAAACAGAAAATTTGAACAGATTGATTACCAGCAATGAAATTGAGTCAGTAATCAAAACTCCCAACAAACAAAAGTCCAAGACCAGGCGGCTTCAGAAGTGAATTCCACCAAACATTTAAATAAGAGTTAATACCTATTTTCACCCTATTTCAAAAAATAGAAGTGGAAGGAAACTTCTAAATTCATTCCATGAGGCCAGAATTACCCTGATACCAAAACCAGATAAAGACACCTACAAAAAAAGAGAACCGCAGGCCAATATTTCTGATGAATACAGATGTGAAAATCCTCAACAAAATATGAGCAAGCCAAATCCAACAATACATTAAAAAGATTATTCATCACGATCAAGTGGAATTTATTCCTGGGATGCAGGAGTGGTTCAATGTAAGCAAATCAGTCAATTTGATATATCACATCAATAAGAGAAAGGATAAAAACCATATGATCATTTCAGTAGATGCAGAAAAAGCATTTGACGAAGTACCATATCCACTCATGATAAAATCCCTCCACAAAGTACGTTTAAAGGGAACATATCTCAACCTAATAAAGGCTATATATGAAAAATCCACAGCCAACCTCATACTCGATGGTGAAAGACCGAGAGCTTTTTCCCAAAGATCAGGAACAGGACAAGGATGTCCACTCTCACCAATTTTATTCAGCACAGTACTGGAAGTCCTCGCCACAGCAATCAGACAACAGAAAGAAAGAAAAGCATCCAAATTAGTAAGGAAGAAGTAACACGATTTACAGATGCAGTGGATTCCAGGGCAAGGTGCAGAGGATAACTTCATAGTGTTTGGCTTACATCATGGAAATGAGATTTGAGAGGGAAAGAAGGCAGGTGATGTGGGGTAGAACAAGAAAGAGAAGGGTGATGTGGATGCAGGCAGAAAAGAACCATCTAATCTGAGTGAGAAGCAAAGTGAGGACACGCAGGGTCGATGGACTGGAGGTCTTGGTGATATCAAAGAATTACTGGAGTGAGGGTATCCAAAGGACATAGCTGGAAAGTCGGCATGAAAATAAAGATAGGCTTGGTGGCAAGAAAACATATCTACATTTTAAAATAATCTTTATTTGCTCATCATATACATTTTAACATGCATTCTATTGATATATATTACATTTATTTTTCAGTAATAATTGAATAATTTATTATATAGTATAAATGACAAAATAGGATTCCTGAATTACAAGCATTTCTGTATAATGTGTGAGGTGAGCCAGGGTAATGGAACATCAATGGTATTAATCTCAAAGAAAAACAGATCAACATTTCCGTTACCGAGTGTGAATTTAGGTATTTAGGGAGATTAATTCCACCCCTGGATTCTCGTATCTTCAGAATTAAAGAGGTAGTATGTATAATCAGAAAAGCAATTCTGATGTTCAATCAATGAGAGAGGTGTGTGTGGGTGTGTGTGTGTTGTATTAGAAACAACAACATGTTAAAATAGAAACCTTCTGAACAATCACATTTTCTAGGGATAAATTTGCATGGCTGTGCCTTAATCCTGCAAATATCATCAAAAACTACAATCAGTAGCAGAAACAGATAAATTAGTTGCCTATCTTCACCACTGAAACAATGTTTTCACATGTTCAGAAGAAGATTTCCCAATTTTTTCAAGGTATGGATTTTTATTATTGATTTTTCTATCGATTTTAAAAGATTTTTGTCTACAAAACTTATTTTCTTACTAGTTAGTATTCATATTTTTTATTAATCAAAGAACTTTCCATTTATTAGAATTTATAAGCATGAAATGACTAATTTTGTCCCTGAATCAGTATCATTTCAGTCCCAGTGAAATTTTACCATTGAGGGAAGCTTCTGCAGCCTTGTTTTGACAAATGTATGATTTCAACAAAGCTTTCTGAAAAACTAAAAACAGCTCATGAGCCCTCTTACCTGATTCTCTTAATGAACCCTATTTGGGGAATCAATCTATTAAGGAACAAAATGTCTATTAGTACATTCTCCTTTTACAATTCTATTTTAAGTTTTTCCTCCTTCCTGTTTCCTTATGGTCATTCATTTATCTATTTCTCTTCTTTCTTCTCTTTTTCTAACCCAACTTTTGCTCCCCCACCCCTTTCTGGTTTCCTCGTTGTCCCCTAGAGAATTGTGTCTCCTCTCATTCTATTTCTTCAATGCTTGGATTCAATCTCCTTTCGTTACGCTTTGTTGCCCATAGACGATCTGTTCCTGCATGGTCATCGGTTCTTTTCCAGAGAATTAGGTATGGAATAAGTAAAACATAAATTATCTGGCTATGTAGCGACCCACAAACATAAGATATGTGAACATCTCACAAGAGCAACATGTAATTATCCATTTTTAGTCTCTTTGGTATAAGCCTCCTGTGTTCAAGATGTAGCATCAGTAAATTCTTGAGTTTTGTTTGTTTGGCATCTCTGTGAATTTAAGATATTAAGTAGAAATCTCACTTTAATACTTTCATTTTTTACAGCATTGGGACAAATTTTTTAAAAGATTTATTTTAGGAAAAAAAAAGATTTATTTTAGAGAGAGCGTGCGCGCAAGTGGGGGAGGGGCAGAAGGCGAAGGGGAGAGACTCTTTCTCAGGCTCCACACTGAGCACAGAGCCCCATGCAGGGCTCAATATCACAACCCTGAGATCATGACCTGAGCTGAAATCTACAGTCGGACCCTTAACGACTGAGCCACCCAGGCGCCTCTGGGACAAATTTTTAATCTTATTCATCAGTTGGAGTCACATAGCCTTTGAAGCTTCAAGGTCAGCGGGAATCTGAAACTGGAACGTGAGCTGGACTATGACTCTTCTCCCAACTTTTGCCGGATTCGTGAAGTGACTGACTGTAGGTCACAGGACGCGCCTGTTGATTTCATCAGGTGGAGACAGTCCGTGTTTACTCCTCACTTACCATGTGCTACTCATTCTTTCAGAAGTGCCTGACGCGTGACCCAGCCGTGAGGTAGGTGTTATTATTAGATCCACTTTACAGATGAAAACCTGACACACAGGAGGCTCACTAATTTGCCCAAGGTCACACGGTAGGTGACAGAGCCAAGATTTTAACTGGAGAAGTCAGATTCCAAGTCTGAGGTGCTGACCACCGTACTTTATTGCTTCCCCGATGCAGCAAGTGCAAAACGCACACGCTGACCTCCTGACTTACCTTCATCTCTGCTCCAGTTTATCCACCCGCTTACACAGAAGCACCTCGGACCATCTCTCGGAACTGCTCCAGCTCCAAGACCTTGACCTCTGTGCTTTCTCCATCCTTCCGTGCTTCCTGGCTTTCCTAACCAGTGACCGTGCTCGGCATCTCCACTGAGCCCCCCTGACTCTACTCTCCCAGCACGGCTCATGCCTCTTCTCTGCCTCCCTCACTTCTCTGTAGTCCTGGGAGGACTTGCCAAGGCTCTAATCCACCTTGCATTTTTCTTCCTTTTGACTTCACCCACTCTTGCTGTCTGGAATATTCTTTCTACCACCTCTCCCCTCCATTTCAGCTTTACGAAGAACGTAACCCAAACTCTGAGCCACTCTCCGAACACCACCTCCCCTCCCCACCCAAAGACTACCTTTTCCAGAATGCTCTTCCTGGTCATTTCAAAAGGTCAGATGTAATCTCTCTCCCCTCAGTGTTTGTAACACAAATATAGTCTACCTTATAATCCAGTTATATGTGAATTCCCTTAGCATCCCCTCTAGCTTATAATCGTAATTTAGAAGATCTAGCCCAATGCTTTGTGCTAGCCTGGAGACCAGAACAAAAAACTGAAGTATAGAACAAAGAACTTCACAACCGAAAAAAATGTTCTACTTTGATCCTTAATTTTACTGGTAAGGACACTGATGCCCAGTTTAAGAGGCAAGTCATACTGACAGTGGGAGACAGAAATTCACAGTTCCTTCCTTCCTTATTGCCTACCATGAATAAAATCGCGTGTGCTCCATACTGTTTCAGCTCTTCGTGTAGACTAGCATTTTCAGTGTGTTGAATGCAGTCCCTTCCAACGGGACAACTGTGCCTTATTTTTATTTTACCATGTCAGGTCTTGCTTTAAGGAATTCTCCTATGTAAAAATAGAGAGTTATATTCTGTACACAAAAGCATTCGACCCTGGCACTAGTAAGGGTACAGGTGAGTGAGTCCTCTCCTGTGTGTACCTGGGGAGGACACTGGCTTGCTGGAACGACCAGGCAGAGCGCACTGGATGCCGCCACTCCACCCCTCAGGACGCGTCCTGAGGAAATCACTATGAGAGTGTGCAAGACGCACCTACGTGTTAATTTGCCGAATCACTGTTTCAAATAGTGAAAAGTTAGAAATGGCTTATAGGTAGATCACAGATGGTTCAGTAAACAGGCAGGTACAAAAGTCTGTATGATATGATTCTATTTTTACAAAAAGTGCGTGTGGACGCGCTTGCAGACGAAAAGAAAAGATTAACCAGACACCAAGATCTAAATGGCTTTCTTGGGGTGGTGGGTTTATTTGTGGTTTTAACTCTTTTCTTGGAATTTTTTTTGAATTTAACTTTAAAAAATTTTTTTAAATACCTTTTCTCAAATCTTCTGTAGTAGAGATATATTATTTTTATAACCAGAAAAATAGTAAATAAACTCATAAATCCCATTTGAAGAGAGACAAAGATAAACTAGGCTGTGACTGTTTCTCAAGATTCATTAGGGGATACTCTTACATTTACGACCTGCATTATCAAAACAATAGAACAAAATAGTCTTTAGCATCAATATTCTAGAAGCTTCCAAGAGGAAACTATTTTCTTAGGAAAAATAACCTCTCAAATCTCCCCAAAAGCTGCTTCATTCTTTTTCCAGAAGAAGTCAGGTATATGTTCTGTTGAAAATGAACAAAAGTTAAAATGCTTTACAACCATTACAAAGTTTGAGGTTTGAGGCTCCTGACTGGCTCAACTGATGGAGTCTGTGACTCTTGATCTTGCAGTCATGAGTTCAAACCCCACGTTGGGTATAGAGATTACATAGAAATAAAACCTTAAAAACTTTTTTCTGAGGCTGATCTGTGTGTCTCAACACAAGGGATACCAAAGATACACTGATGAGTAAAAAAAATATGTTACAGAGCGTATGTACTAGGAGAACATTAAAACAACAACAAAACAATAACAAACTTTTCCCTCCAACTATATGGGACATTTTATTGAGAACAACTCTATTTAGATGAATGTTGATACACTCAGAAACTGGCCTGGGATGCTATCCACTGAGCTTATCGAGAGTTATTAAGAGTTTGCCCTGGAGAGTGGGTGGAGGAAAGGCAGGAAACAGGGTTTTGTGGGAAGAGTGGGGTAGATTATTTACTTTCTATTTTACGAGTTTTAACATTCTTTGCATTTTCTAAATGTAAATTTTTTGAAAACATTCAAAAGGAAATAAGTAAAAGAAAGAAAGAAGGAAATTTTAAGACATGCCTGTGTTTGCAAGCCAAGGCAGAGCCAGATGGTAAGTTCTGCTTATTTACTATTAAATTCCTGCATTTTTCAGAGGGTCAGTAGTAAAGATAAGAAATGATTCTCCCTCTTGGTGATCTTTTGCAAATATAAAAATGGCAAATTGGCCTTTCTGACATTTCAGCTCAAATGTTCCAGATATAATCTTAAAGATGTACACAGTTTTGTAATGAGACACTTACATGGTTTTGAATTGGAGGCAGGAAGAAACTCAGTGGGTCATTCCCCTTAACCAACCAGTCCACCAAATTCACAAGGGGCTGGGCACAGGCTAAAATGTGACATAGGAAAGGACTGTCTTCAATGACCATGTCCTTGTCACATAAACACCACCCCTCATTCTCATCTTGCCAAATACACACCTTCCCTCTAATAATGTCCCTTCATCTCCTTTACCAAAAAGTACTTCCAGAAGGGACTGAAACACATTTGTATGAATGTAAAATTATGACTCTTTAAAATATTACTTTCCTACTTTCCTAAGATTTGCTTTTCACAGGTTAACAAAGGAATGAAGCTCTAATGGTGGAATCTCACATATCCATCAGAATCTGGGGGCATAGTCAGGCCCTGACTCTGCTTATATACACCCATGACCTCCTCTGCAGTGGTCTTGCATGTGGCAGGCATTTTCAGACTTACAGATTTTGGTATATGTCAGGATCCTGCTGCAGCCAGGTTTGGAATCCTATATACAAGTCATCCCAGCAAAGACCATTCTTCATCATGTGTCTGATGACGTCAACCCAGCTCCGGATCTGAAACAGATACAGGACAGCTAGCAGGGCTGACCCAGCCAGCACAGAGTATCGACCTCTCATGTCCCTGGGAGAATCAGCTGCCTGTGATGGCAGGGGCTTGGACAGTCCTGGAGAAAAGTCAAATGGAGTAGATATCACAGGCTCGGGGAGAGAAGGGACCACGAGGGCTTCAGAAACCCAGGGAAGGAGAACAGGAAAGGGCTCAGGAGCTGGGGAGCAGGCATAGCGACTGAGAGCACAGAGTCCCATCGCTGGGTTCAAATCCAGCCTCCGGCTGTGGGAAATAGGCAACCATTCTGCACCCTGATTTTCTCACCTATAACATGAAGATAATGGAACCTTCCTCAGAGGCTGTCATGCGGATTAACAGAGTCAAGACTTAAAAGGAGGCCTGGCACACGGTAAGCTCTCTGTGAATGTGTGCACTGCAGGGTTACTCTGTAGGTGGAGCGTTTATTCTCCTTCCAGAACATTCAGAGGCAAAGCAAAGACTGCAAGTTTACAGCAATCTGTGTGTTTCAGGCCTGCCACGGAGCAGGGGTCCCTTAATTAGGTGGTCAAGCCCTTACCTTTCAAGAGTCCCCACTCCTGACACGGAAGCTGTTGAACAGTCAAAGGAGCACAGGATTAGAAGACGAGTGGAGTTGGTTTTGAGTGTCAGCCCCACACTTACTAATCAGGCGACCTTCACCTTGCTAAGCCTCTCTTACTGGGCTGTTGTGAGACAAAAATGGTATCGTTTATAAAAAGGAGCTTGGGGTAGCATGCAGGGGCAGGATGCTAAGATCAGACATGGCTTTGACATTTCATTAGTACCCGTGTTCAAGTTTCCCAGGAGCTTTTCCAGTGTCGGGAATCAGCTTTTTTTCCTCAGGAAATAGCACATGAGTGCCGGCCAAGGCCAACTGTCATAAATGGCAGGCTCTTCAGTGACACAGAAGGATTTGAAGATGGGCACCTTGGATTTATTTCTCTGGCCTGCACCATCCCTGTAAAACCATATGCATTGTGCTCTGAAACACAGCTCAGAGGCCCTGTTCTTTTGCCAGCAGATTTAGAAACTTGACGGCACGGTTTGGTCAGGATGAGGCTGCCCCTCATAAGAGTGGGATCCCGATCTAGTTCCTCACAGTGGAGGGGAGATGGCCTTTCTGACCTTTCATTCTGGAGGATGGGAGTCTCCCCCCACAGGAGACTGTGGGACAGGACTGAGAAATATTTAGGGTAGAAAATGGGAAGGTCTAAATAACTGATTAGCTCTGGGGATGAGGGGAAGGGAAGGGTGGAGGGTTACTCCCCTGTGTCTAGTGTGGCTCAGGGTCAGGGGACAACATTGCCAACAATCCAGAAAAGGAGAAAGAGCAGTTCTAGAGAAGGAAGAGGATACGTTGAATTTCGAACAGGTTGAAAAGGAGGTACCAAGGACTTGGGAATCTGGGTGATGATATATCTAGTGGGCAGTGGATGGTAAAGAATCGCAAGCATGACCATGTTGTAGGGCGGGACGTGAGGGTTTTGGAGTCATTAGCAGAGAAGTGGTGCCAGCAGACGAGGTCACCCAGGAAGAGACTCGAGGGGAAGAGTGAGTTGAACAGAGAGCCCTAGAGGGAAACAAGCTTTTAGTGATGCCTGGAGAAAGAGAGACCCCAAAATAATGCAGAAGGATAGTCAGGAAGTGAAAAAAACAAGGGGTAGTGTCATAGGAATGGAGAAAGGACTCCAGGTCAAAAAGATGGACTGGGTGGCTCAGTCGGTTAGGCGTCCGACTCTTGATTTCGGCTCAGGTCATGATCTCAGGATTGTGGGACCGAGCCCTGTGCTGAGCACAGAGCCTGCGTGAGAACTCTCTCTCCCTCTCCCCTTGTCCATCTCCCCATCCCGCACCACATTCTTTCTCTCTCTCTCCCAAATAAATAATCTTAAAAAACAAAAAAAAGATGGACAGATCACATGCATAAATGTGTCTTCTGTGTACTTCCAGGCCCAACTAAAATGTTCACAACACACTCACACAGGTATAAGCTGCCAGAGAACAGGAAGCAAAGCGAGTCATTGACAAGCAGGAGATTTCACCTAAGTTGAATCTGGAAAGCAGGCTGAGGAGTGGCAACCAAAGACAGAGTCACAGGATCCTGGAGCACGAGAGGAGGGGCATCCGGACATGCAGGGAGTAGAGGTGGGTTCCCAAGGACGACTGTGAGGACACACAGCACAACGTACATCAAACAGCTGACCCCTTCCTATGCCTGTGCTTTGCTCTCACCAAGTATCTTCGAACAGTTCTCTGAGTAAAAGAATCGATTTCGGGGGGAGAACAAGGGCAAGTGGGATCCGTGTGATGTCTTGAAGCAAGGAGCTCCACACCTTGGTACTTGGGAGACCCCCAGCCTCACAGCCAGCTCCTCACTTCCATACCTCAAACTGGTGACCTCCTGACCAAAGGCAGCCTAGACGTTGTTTCACAGTCCCTTTTAAAAACTGAATTAGCTGGGTGCCTGGGTGGCTCAGATGGTTAAGCGTCTGCCTTTGGCTCAGGTCATGATCCCAGGGTCCTGGGATCGAGTCCCGAATCGGGCTCTCTGCTCCTTGGGAGCCTGCTTCTCCCTCTGCCTCTCTCTCTCTCTGTCTCTCATGAATAAATAAATAAAAATCTTTTAAAATTAAAAAAAACAAACTGAATTAGCTTTCTGCTAAGTTGTCAATCTGGGTATTTCACATAAAAATCCAGACTTCCAAGTACTCTGGAAAAATTCAGATCAGCTGGAGCTCCTCAGGTGCGGACCCCTGCCAACCCAGCACGTCCTTTCCACATCCACACCCAGCTCTCCTGAGCACAGGATCTGCCTTGGGCCAGCTGTGGGCGCCGAAACAGGAAGTCCCCGCCTTTAAGGAGAGGCTGCTGGGTGACAAGTGCTGTACCTATACGGAGAGCCCTAAATCAAGGACCTAGACCAAGTCCTAAGCTTGAAAAGTCTTTTTATTGGTGAACAGAGATGAATCCCTTACTTCTTGAAAGTCACTTACAAATGAAGAAAGATCAGCCTGCGGTAAGCAACGTTGCATACGAGAAGCCGAAGGAGCGATGCCTTCGGGTGTCCAGGGAGAGTGACTTGCCCGCCAGCATCCTGTGCTCAGCTAACCTGCCCTGCGGCGGGAGGCCAGAAAGTATTTAAAGTTTAACTCCCACGCACCCTTTCTTCAGCAGTTACAAGCAGAGAGTCCAAAGCCAAGGCGGCTTAAACCTGGCTGGGGTCTGGAAGCAGATAAGGGTGGTGCAGGGTGACAGATCTGCAGCAGACCTCAAGGAGCCCATCCAGACTGGAGCAGGAGGAGGAGGTCAACTACCAGAGCCATGCATCTAGGAGAGAGGGAGAGTTGGTGAAACGGAAAATACACTTATGAGTTTGAAAAACTCATGGTTAAGAAAAGGTAGCATGACTTAAAGGGTCTATCCAGCAAGAAGATCTAACAATTGTAAATATCTATGCCCCTAACATGGAGCAGCCAGTTATATAATGCAATTAATAACAAAAGCAAAGAAACACATTGACAACAATACAATAATTGTGGGGGACTTTAACACCTCCCTCACTGAAATGGACAGATCCTCTAAGCAAAAGATCAACAAGGAAATAAAGACTTTGAATGACACACTGGACCAAATGGACTTCACAGACATATTCAGAACATTCCATCCCAAAGCAACAGAATACACATTCTTCTCTAGTGCCCGTGAAACATTCTCCAGAACAGATCACATCCTAGGTCATAAAGCAGGTCTCAACCGGTACCAAAAGATTGGGATCATTCCCTGCCTATTTTCAGACCACAGTGCTTTGAAACTAGAACTCAATCACAAGAGGAAAGTTGGAAAGAACTCAAACACATGGAGGCTAAAGAGCATCCTACTGAAGAATGAATGGGTCAACCAGGAAATTAAAGAAGAATTTAAAAAATTCATGGAAACCAATGAAAATGAAAACACAACTATTCAAAATCTTTGGGATGCAGCAAAGGCAGTCCTAAAGTATATAGCAATACAAGCCTTTCTCAAGAAACAAGAAAGGTCTCAAGTACACAACCTAACCCTCCACCTAAAGGAGCTGGAGAAAGAACAGCAAATAAAGCCTAAACCCAGCAGGAGAAGAGAAATAATAAAGATCAGGGCAGAAATCAATGAAATAGACACCAAAAGAACAGTAGAACAGATCAACGAAACTAGGAGCTGGTTCTTTGAAAGAATTAACAAGATTGATAAACCCCTGGCCAGACTTATCAAAAAGAAAAGAGAAAGGACCCAAATCAACAAAATCATGAATGAAAGAGGAGAGATCACAACCAACACCAAAGAAATACAAACAATTATAAGAACATATTATGAGCAACTCTATGCCAGCAAATTCGATAACCTGGAAGAAATGGATGCATTCCTAGAGATGTATCAACTACCAAAACTGAAGCAGGAAGAAATAGAAAACCTGAACAGACCTAAAACCACTAAGGAAATTGAAACAGTCATCAAAAATCTCCCAAAAAACAAAAGCCCAGGGCCAGATGGCTTCCCAGGGGAATTCTACCAAACATTTAAAGAAGGATTAATACCTATTCTTCTGAAACTGTTCCAAAAAATAGAAATGGAAGGAAAACTTCCAAACTCGTTTTATGAGACCACCATTACCTTGATCCCAAAACCAGACAAAGACCCCATCAAAAAGGAGAACTACAGACCAATATCCCTGATGAACATGGATGCAAAAATTCTCACCAAAATACTAGCCAATAGGATCCAACAGTCCATTAAAAGGATTATTCACCACGACCAAGTGGGATTTATCCCTGGGCTGCAAGGTTGGTTCAACATCCGCAAATCAATCAACGTGATACAATACATTAACAAAAGAAAGAACAAGAATCGTATGATCCTTTCAATAGATGCAGAAAAAGCATTTGACAAAGTACAGCATCCTTTCTTGATCAAAACTCTTCAGAGTATAGGCATAGAGGGTACATACCTCAATATCATAAAAGCCATCTATGAAAAACCTACAGCGAATATCATTCTCAATGGGGAAAAACTGAGAGCTTTCCCCCTAAGGTCAGGAATGCGGCAGGGATGTCCACTATCACCACTGCTATTCAACATAGTATTAGAAGTCCTAGCCACAGCAATCAGACAACAAAAAGAAATAAAAGGCATCCAAATCGGCAAAGAAGAAGTCAAACTCTCACTCTTTGCAGATGACATGATACTTTACGTGGAAAACCCAAAAGACTCTACCCCAAAACTGCTAGAACTCATACAGGAATTCAGTAAAGTGGCAGGATATAAAATCAATGCACAGAAATCAGTTGCATTTCTATACACCAACAACAAGACAGAAGAAAGAGCAATTAAGGAGTCGATCCCATTTACAATTGCACCCAAAACCATAAGATACCTAGGCATAAATCTAACCAAAGAGGCAAAGGATCTGTACTCAGAAAACTATTAAATACTCATGAAAGAAATTGAGGAAGACACAAAGAAATGGAAAAACGTTCCATGCTCATGGAGTGGAAGAACAAATATTGTGAAGGTGTCAATGCTACCTAGAGCAATCTACACATTCAATGCAATCCCCATCAAAATACCATCCACTGTTTTCAAAGAAATGGAACAAATAATCCTAAAATTTGTATGGAACCAGAAAAGACCCCGAATAGCCAGAGGAATGTGGAAAGAGAAAAGCAAAGCTGGCGGCATCACAATTCCGGACTTCCAGCTCTATTACAAAGCTGTCATCATCAAGACAGTATGGTACTGGCACAAAAACAGACACATCGATCAATGGAACAGAATAGAGAGCCCAGAAATGGACCCTCAACTCTATGGTCAACTCATCTTCGACAAAGCAGGAAAGAATGTCCAATGGAAAAAAGACAGTCTCTTCAACAAATGGTGTTGGGAAAATTGGATAGCCACATGCAGAAGAATGAAACTGGACCATTTCCTTACACCACACACAAAAATAGACTCCAAATGGTTGAAAGACCTCAATGTGAGACAGGAGTCCATCAAAATCCTAAAGGAGAACACAGGCAGCAACCTCTTCGACCTCAGCCGCAGCAACTTCTTCCTAGAAACATTGCCAAAGGCAAGGGAAGCAAGGGCAAAAATGAACTATTGGGACTTCATCAAGATACAAAGCTTGGAAAGCAAAGGAAACAGTCAACAAAACCAAAAGACAACCGACAGAATGGGAGAAGATATTTGCAAATGACATATCAGATAAAGGGCTAGTATCCAAAATCTATAAAGAACTCATCCAACTCAACACCCAAAGAACAAAGAATCCAATCAAGAAATGGGCAGAAGACATGAACAGACATTTTTCCAAAGAAGACATCCAAATGGCCAACAGACACATGAAAAAGAGCTCAATATCGCTCGGCATCAGGGAAATCCAAATCAAAACCTCAATGAGATACCACCTCACACCAGTCAGAATAGCTAAAATTAACAAGTCAGGAAACGACAGATGTTGGCGGGGATGCAGAGAAAGGGGAACCCTCCTACACTGTTGGTGGGAATGCAAGCTGGTGCAGCCACTCTGGAAAACAGTATGGAGGTTCCTCAAAAAGTTGAAAATAGAGCTACCATACGACCCAGCAATTGCACTACTGGGTATTTACCCCAAAGATACAAAAGTAGGGATCCGAAAGGGTACGTGCACCCCGATGTTTATAGCAGCAATGTCCACAATAGCCAAACTGTGGAAAGAGCCAAGATGTCCATCGACAGATGAATGGATAAAGAAGATGTGGTATATATATATACAATGGAATATTATGCAGCCATCAAAAGGAATGAGATCTTGCCATTTGCAACGACGTGGATGGAACTGGAGGGTATTATGCTGAGCGAAATAAGTCAAACAGAGAAAGACATGTATCATATGACCTCACTGATATGAGGAATTCTTAATCTCAGGAAACAAACTGAGGGTTGCTGGAGTGGGGGGTGGGGTGGAAGGGATGGGGTGACTGGGTGATAGACACTGGGGAGGGTATGTGCTCTGGTAAGCGCTGTGAATTGTGCAAGACTGTTGAATCTCAGATCTGTACCTCTGAAACAAATAATGCAATATATGTTAAGAAAGAAAAAAAAAGAAGAAGAAGAAGAAGAAGATAGCAGGAGGGGAAGAATGAAGGGGGGGAAATCGGAGGGGTAGACAAACCATGAGAGATGATGGACTCTGAAAAACAAACTGAGGGTTCTAGAGGGGAGGCGGGTGGGAGGATGGGTTAGCCTGGTGATGGGTATTGAGGAGGGCACGTTCTGCATGGAGCACTGGGTGTTATGCACAAACAATGAATCATGGAACACTACACCTAAAACTAATGATATAATGTATGGGGATTAACATAACAATAAAAAAATAATAAAAATGGGCAAAAGACCCGAATAGACATTTCTCCAAAAAAGATATACAAATGGCCAACTGGTACATGAAAAACATCACTAACCATTAGGGAATGTAAATCAAAACCACAATAAGATATTATTTTACACCTATCAGGATGGCTATTATTAAAAATACAAAAGGCAAAAATTGGTGAAGATGCAAAACGCTTGCATGCTGCTGGCGGAATGCAAAATGATGCAGCCATTATGGAAAACAGTAAGAAAGTCCCTCAAAAACTTAAAAATAGAACTACAACATGACCTAGCAATCTCACTACCAGGTATTTATCCAAAAGAACTGAAAAGAAAATCTCAGAGATATTTGTGCTCCCATGTTTAGTGAAGCGTTATTCACAATAGCTAGGTACAATTTTGAATCTAGAGTCAGCAATAATGTATTGTATACTTCAAATTTTGTTAAGAGAGTAGAGTTCATGTTAAGTGTTCTTTCCACCATAAAATAAAATAGAAAATAAAGACTGAAGTCTGCAGATTGAAAAAAAAAAAAAGAAAGAAAGAAAAGGTAGCATGAGAGGGATCCGGGTGGCAAGCAGAGGAGCTCTTCCAAGGACAGGCATAAGCAAACTTCAGCATAAGAAATCTCACTAAAATCCTGACATATAGGGGTGCCCTGGTGGCTCAGTAGGTTAAGTGTCTGCCTTCAGCTCAGGTCATGATCCCAGGGTCCTGGGATCGAGCCCCACATCGGGCTCCCTGCTCAGCCGGGAGTCTGCTTGTCCCTCTCCTGTTCCCCCTGCTTGTGCTCTTGTGCACGCTCTCTCTTTCTCTCAAATAAATAAAATCTTTTTTTTTTTAAGATTTTATTTATTTATCTGAGAGAATGGGAGACAGAGAGCATGAGAGGGGAAGGGTCAGAGGGAGAAGCAGACCCCCCGCTGAGCAGGGAGCCCGATGTGGGACTCGATCCTGGGACTCCAGAATCATGAGCTGAGCCGAAGGCAGTTGCTTAACCAACTGAGCCACCCAGGCGCCCCTAAATAAAATCTTAAAAAAAAAAAAAATCCTGGCAGATAAAAGCACCAAAAGCCACATTACAGAGGGCCAAGTATGCAGCAGGCGTGATGATTCAGCCCACAGTACATTTACGTCTGCCACAGAGCTGCTGTTTGCGTCACCCAACAGATGCATTGTGAAAAGCTGTGAAAAGGTGACTTTTGGTTAAATATTTTACATGAACCTGTGAATCAAAAAAGTCCAAAGATGAATCTCCTTTAAGGCTAACAGATACCTTAATGTATAGATTTGGTGAATTCAGATTTGAGAAGCAACACAGTGGCTAATACCTAGACTCTGGAGCTAAACCCCTGAGGTCAGTCCTCCGCACCATCGCTTATGAGCTGGACAGCCTCAGGCAAGCTCCTGGACATCATGGCGATGTCCTCATCCACAAGTGGGGAATATAGTGATATCTCGTCCATAAGGTTGTTGTCGAATAAATGACATATAATTTTATAAAGTGCTTCAAACTATGTAAGCCTTTATTAAATAAAGCAATATATTTAATAGATCCATTTTGCTTAAAATGGGTGCTTTGCATAGGGTCTTCCTATATGTGAAAACCCAGTTTTTTAAAACCCAGAAAGCAGGCAGTAGGTTATTGGTTTTACTGAAGTTTTAGCCTAGGATTCTCTTCAATGGCAAGTACTTTGCTGACACCAAAATACAAGTCAAATGATTAAAATGTAGCTTAAGAACATATCTGATCTAGGGGTGCCTGGGTGGCTCAGTCGTTAAGCGTCTGCCTTCGGCTCAGGTCATGATCCCGGGGTCCTGGGATCAAGCCCCGCATTGGGCTCCCTGCTCAGCGGGAAGCCTGCTTCTCCCTCTCCTACTCCCCCTGCTTGTCGTTCTTGCTCTCGCTATCTCTCTATCAAATAAATGAATAAAATCTTAAAAAAAAAAAAAAGAAATGAAGAATGCCTTTGACGAGCTCATTAGTAGCCTGGACTTGGCTAAGGAAAGAATCTCTGAGCTTGATGCTATGACAATAAAAACTTCTAAAACTGAAAAGCAAAGAAAAAAGACTGGGAAAAAAAATGGAATGTAATATCCAAGACCTGTGGGAGAACTAAAAAAGGTATAAATAACATACATATAATCAGAATACTAGGAAGAGAATAAAGAGAGAAAGGAACAGAAAAAAAAATATTTGCAATAAAAATGACTGAGAATTTCTCCCAAATTAATGTCAGACATCAAACCATAGATCCAGGAAGTTCACAGAACACCAAACAGGATAAATGCATAATAAAATAAAATAAAATAAAATAAAATAAAATACATAAATAAATTTACACCTAGGCATATCATATTCAAATTGCAGAATATCAACAATAAAGAAAAAATCTTGAAAGAAGGAGGAAAAAAATCTTACCTCTATAGAGGAGCTAAGATAAAAATTACACACTAATTCTTGGAAACTGTGCCAACAAGAAAAGAGTGGAGTGAAATGTTTAGAGTGCTGAAAGAAAAAGGCCCACCAATCTAGTATTCTGTATCCTGCAAAATTATCCTTCAAAAGTAAAGGAGAAATAAAGACTTTCTAAGACAAACAAAAATTGGAGGAATGTGTCACCAGTAGACCCACCCTACAAGAAAAGTAAAAAGAAGTTCTTCGCAGAAAAGGAAATGGTATAGGTTAGAAACTTAGATCTATATAAAGAAAGAAGGAGCATTAAAGAAGGAATAAGTCAAAGTCAAATAAATTTTTTTTCTTAGGTGATGTAACAGATAACAGTTGGTTCAAAATAATAA